GTATTTTGACGATTGCAAAGTGTGTGGCTCTTTCAGAAAAAATGGGATTTATGGATTATGGTGAATACCGGGTTAAAACGAACTAAGTTTGGGTTGAAGGGTCTGAGAGTTCCATTTCCGGCCATCTAGAGGTGCCATAATCATACTTCTTGTTTACTTCAGCCACAACCATGATGAGGCTCCATCTGTGAAAGTCCGACCTAGGCCGCCAGTATTTCGAATTCCTGGATCCGCCACTGGTGATGATTACTTCACCCTTCACCAGGTTAAAACGATTTAGGGTCGTAGCGGCCGCGAGTCGATTCGATACGCAGCAATTAGTATGGAGCGCCAAGCGTGCAGTACTGTATGCAAAATATATGTTGGACAATGGGCATCAGAGTTCGATATTAATACTGTTTTAATCAATTATCTAATTAATGTATATTTTCTTTCATAATTTATATATAGCCTATATAAATCGAGACTTAATATTTATTTAGTTTATTTATTATATCAATTGATTTATAGTATGCCTATTTTCTTACAGAAATGGATGGTAATTTTCAAATGGCTTCTTTAGTTTGTTCGAATTTTACTAACATAATTCAATTATGTCATGTACCTACAAAAATGTTTCTATCTGTAATCAATCTGTAAACAAATCGATCTTTAATCAACCAGGGCCAAGTAGACTACGAGAAATAAAAAATATTCCATTTTGTATATATATTTGTTTTGTACCGATTAAGTCTGATAATTATACACTGATTTCTCTTTATTTCGAAACACTTGCCCAATCAATCAGTATAGCGCTACTGGGGTTCCATACATTTTGAGCACAGCCGCTTTCCCTCGGGACCGCCTCGACCATACTCCGTTTAAAACGACCTAAGCCAGTGGGTGCAGGTCAAATCGGCCACAAGTCAACTCGGCCATAGTCAACTCGGCCACAAGTCAACTCGGCCACTAAAAGTTTGGCTACAGCCAACTCGGCCACAAGTCAACTCGGCCACAAATCAACTCGGCCACAAGTCAACTCGGCCACAAGTCAACTCGGCCACAAGTTCTTTAATGTAAATCTCAGTTTTTGCATCCTTTTTCTTCAATATATGATTGAAATAAAGTATGAGTATATTTTAGTAAAACAGGACCACCACACTACCAAAAGAGATTTGAATGCTATTGCCTATGAATTAAAAAGAGTTATTTATTAATGTGTGCGTCTTCTGTTTACTCACAACATTCTACTTCAACAATAATATTAAACAACAATAACGACAATAAATTAGTAATATTTACATTAATAACACCAATAACAATAACTTTTTAAATTACTATTATTAAAATAATAATACTAAGACTAATGAATAATAATAAGAATAACAATAAGAATAATAATAAGAATATTAATAATAATATCAGCAAAAATTTGAACAATAATATAATGTTAATGCCAAGACTAATAATTACCGTAATATTAAAACTAACGGTAATAAAAACAACAATAATAATAACAACAATGACAACAATAATAACAGCAATAATAATAACAATAAGTATAGTAATACTTAAAGAATTAGTATTTTATACTTGATGAATTACTCCTAAAGTGTATAAAGTGTAGTACCAGTAAATGACTTGTGGCCGAGTTGACTTGTAGCCGAGTTGACTTGTGGCCGAGTTGACTTGTGGCCGAGTTGACTGTAGCCAAATTCTTTGTGGCCGAGTTGACTTGTGGCCGAGTTGGATCGAATTCAAGCCAGTATACCTTGTTGAATTGCTTGCATTATAATTAGTTGATTAATGAATATTTTACACGAAGGTTCAAACCTAAGTGGTGGTACCTTGATGAATGATAAGCATTTCTTTACAATGTTGTCCCTAAAACCGTATATGCAACAACCTTAACGCTGTCATAGTACTGTAATTTTCTTTATTTAGTACCCTTGCAATATGAGTATTACTTAATACGTTTAAATTGCTATTAAAATGCGCGCGTGTTACTATTTTTAGTTTTTGCTTTACTTTCTTCATTAATGAGTACAATTACAAGATATACAATCAGTGGGCAGGGCATTCTTCAGTAGGCCTCAGCGGCAGCAGCCACGGATAATTTCATACATGATGGAGTGAACACATGTGCTGATGGAATACGAAGGACACTTATCGACAAAGCCAGGCACGTACTGCCCCCACTATGGGCATACAACAAATCCTTTTTAATGGCGATGCATTCAGACTGCCAGTTGGTACTGCGTCGTCAATGCTCAAATTGGGCAGTTAGATTCATCATATATATTCAATCCATTGTTTATCCGGTAACCAATGTACCTACCTGTATCCTCATCATAGGTGTTACGTGTAAATTTATAATAAATGATACTTCACCATATTAATAAATTTGAAAGAAAAATTACTGTATTGATAAATGATAGGTTTAATTTATTGTTGTAACATATAACAATGCAAATAATCAAAGAGTTTCTAACATACAGCCAATAATAATTAACTATAACTACAGGTCAACATAAACTACAACACAACTGTTTATACAGTTTTAACACCAGGAATAATTCAAAAGTTTGTTATGAAGATGACTTCCAAAATCTAACCTTTGTTTTAATTATGATTTAAGTGCGAGCCTGAATTATGGTAATCTATTAATCTTGTTAAAAATGTAAACACCGACATACTGTGCCCGCTCGTTAAAACCTACATTATTGACGGTCAGTGCAACAAGGAGTACCAAAGTGATGTCGTCACAGGGCCTGTTGGTTCCAATCAGTGCTAGTCTGTGTTACTCACACACACTTGTATTGATTGAATCTTTGAATGAATCAGCTACGCTCTTTGATGTTACACTTCTCTACTACTAGACAAACTAATAAACAGTTACACACATTTAAAATCACAACACACTAATGTACATTAAAACAACGATAACCTTGTTTACCCATCAATCATTTTTGGAAAACAACTTAGCATTCCAATACAGCAAAATACAATTTTCTACTAAAGAATTTAAAAATTGAGAAATGAGATTAAAAATATATTCTGTATATATAGGCATAAATGCAATACTAAAAGAATACCATATACTAAAAATATAAAATACTGGTCATATCACACTGTAATGCATGAAAAGAATCTAACAAACCCTGTAAGTTTCAATTAAAAATATAACCCTATAATATTGTTGGTCTTTTATAAGCAATTTACATTGTAGAAGATGATACATACAATATATTGCCATTATAGATTACTGTTCAGTAACAGAAATCCAATGCTAGTTAAATGTTTACCATGCATCAGTAACATACTCTAGTAAAACATCAGATAAGGTAAAGTAAAACCTCCATTGTATAAATTTAAAATATAATTTTTATTACAATATTCAAGTAAGGACAAAAGAGTTGCATAGCAGTAAGTTATGACAATAAAGTTAACTTTGTTTATACGTTGGTAAAGTTAACTTAATTAATACTATTTGGTTAATAATTTTCTAGTATATACATCAGATATATTAATTTAGTTTTACATTGGAATTATAGGTACAGTGCTTCTCAGCTGCTCAGAATTCAGCATGGTGGGATTTCATTGCCACCAGACAAATACCTTTTATCTAGTAATTCCGATGATAAAAAGCCAAAGTATACTTCAGGCCAGACTAGACTTTTTTTATACTTTGTGTAGTAAACCCGCCACCTGCCAAAGATGAAGATTTCCGAATAAAAATAAAATTTTATTTTTGGCCAATTAGCACACCTGCCCTCACAAAAAATGGCAATTTCAGAAAAAAATCTCCAAAAATAAGATTGTATTGGATTGGATTTATTCGGTGTAATCACCAAGGATAGCCCACGAAAGTCTAGGAGACTTATTTCCAGTGGGGTCCTTCTGGTGGCGATTGGGGAGTACACCGGGAGACAATCCTCCACTTTTTTCCGAAGAGTGTACTGCGTTCTTTAACGTGCACATGGGCCATAAATGTACGTGTGACCAATGGCTTAAACGTCTCATCCAAAAGACGGTGCGCTATTGTAACTTGTATTTAAGCCCTCCAGCTGAAACACAAGGAGATATGTATATTTCTTCCTAATTATATAAATTTAAAGCATTTAACCATCCCATTACTACTGTACACTGTTTACATTCACCAATAAAATTTTATTTTTATTTTCTCCTCTGTCTTGATGTTCTTGTCAAATATATTTGCTAAATAAGAAAATGCAATTTTATTTTATTTTCCTGCCCTCCTCTGACGACCTTTATAAAACTAAGTTGGCGAGACAAGGTATAAAAAAAACCTTACTTACAAACAAGGAATTTTCCTATGATCAAGGGTCACAAGTCTCCCGCTAACTCCCAAAGAATGCACAAATCTCCCGGGAAAAAAATCTTCCGCAAATTCATAATACTTGCACGTTTTTACAAGTTTATCTATCAATAGTCTCACGGAAATCGGGGACGATGGGTATCATCCACGCACACAAAAATAAAAATTAGATGTGTTTAAGAAAGCTCATTTTACCAGATATCCAGGATGCGACTTGTTCCAAATTTGGAGCCTTGTATGATTCCACCACATGGTGGCTCTTGTCTTTAGTTAACATTAACATCACTCAGAAGCAAAGATGCACAATCATTACTGCTTTGCTTTACAAAATAATTTTTTCTGACTGTGAAAAAGAAATCATGCTACACATGGATAAAATTTACTTCTTGGCTGATGTATCAACAAAATCAGTATACTATATGTGAGGTCTCACCACAAAATAAGTCTCATGGTTAGAAATTCAAAAATTGAGTTTATATTACATTTGGGTATATCACATTATAAGTATTCATTTGGTCTTTGAATGGCTTCCCTACTATAAGTAAATTCAGAGATGTGAGCATTTAAAGTTTAGGTGTATAAGAACCATGTTTTGAGAAAATCGGCCTCAAAGATAAACTAACCTGTACAAATAATATGACTATAATTACAGAATATGTGCAGAGAACACTTTTTTGGCAAGAAAATTCACTTACAAAGTATACAATCACAAAATATAAGTATCAAGTTATTCAAAAACATTAAAATCAAAATTTTGTAAAAATGCTGACTTTGGCCTGTTTTGGTGAATATCTCAATATGACTTCACCAACAATGCGTGTCATTTCGTGGTGATACCTCACATATGTGTATTCTAATATTACCACAAAACGTTCTTATAACGTAAAATTGTTAGCTGGACAATATGCAATAGGATAGTAGTTTTCTATGTACTATGATATACAGGAACCATCAGTGTATTTAAAAGCCTCACATAAATGTTAGTTTTAACTTTAATACAGGATTTACTCATGAATGAATTTCATCTAGTCTAGTCTTAGTTTATACATAATAAAGAACCGACACTATTTTAATTTTAAGATTTATACATTTTATCACATTTTTTATAATGATGATAAAGATAATTCAGCCTAAACCTGACAAGTACTGTAGTTAAAGCTGGGAGTAGGCTTAACTTAAATGTGACCGGTAGATGCTGGAGGAGGTTGACCATAGTATGTATACATTGGCACAAAGCCTGTGCTGCCCATGAATGCGTCGTCTGATGTATCTTCTTCTTTCATGTCCACTGCTCCAAACACACATGAAGCATACGATGGTGGTGCTAAAAAAACAAAAATAACAGGATTATTTCTAGACCTACTGCGTACAGTAAAAAATTCCAACTGATTGACCTAAGTTTTAAATCTCACTGTGTTTAAGCAGTAACTGTTTTTTGCTTGATTCTAAAACTTTCACCAATATTAAAAGCAATGTATTAAAGGTTTAAAAAAAATTTTTTTTTTTTTTAAATATTTGCTGACCCTCATTATATATTAATATTTATTTAACGAAACTTAAAATTTAAATGAAAGGCCCTTTATATTTTTTTTGGTACATAATATATATAATATATAATAATAATGTGGTACATAATAATCAAAGAAAGACACCATTTTATTTTCTGAAGAAAAGGTCGAAGGACACACCCTTGAGCATAAAACATATTAATGGAATCGCAAATTGTATTCAGGCAGCACTCAAGAAAACAATGTGCCTGTATACAACGGATGACTCCATTATTTTCTTGAGGGTATGCTCTAGTTACGTAATGTTCTAATTTTGTATGACAATGTGAAATATACAGAATATAATTTTAAAATTTAAAAAAAATAAATAAAAGTAGATGAATTTAAAATATTAGGATTACTTACGAAGGTTTGGGTAGGGGTCAGGCAAAGCAACAGGAGGTGCAGACGGTTGTTGTGTTACCACTCCATATTGAGTGTTATATCCACTGCTGTACACATTTGCTGGTATTGTACCAATCAATACCGGAATATCAATACGGCAATCCACCGCCATTGGAATATCCACATGCAGCTATATAATATACACAAAAATACAAAGCAGTGAATTTCCATTCATGTTGTTCATGATACAATTTTTATTCCTGCAACGAGATGAAATTCTCTTGACACAACAAACACAGCAATCAAACTGATTTGAACAAAGCTATTAGGGCTATTTTACTCTTTCAAAATTACTACATTATTTACTCAAATATTACTATAAATAGATACATTTTATATATAAGAAAAGATAGCTTTATACAGTAAGGTGTTCAATTCAATTTTTAGTGTCCTTTTCAAGGTAAATGTTATATCTGAGATATAATTTTGTGGTTGTTTATGAAAAAAGATGATAATGAAAGTGGAGACATTGTTAAAATATAATAGCTTTGTAGACTATTTCTGCTTTAAATTTTATATTCTTTTATATATCTATTGCTAAACATACCCTGACAAAGTATGATGCCTCGATGATGCTACAGTTTGTTAGAGTGGGTGCAATTGGTGGGATAAGGAGAGGTTTTTGGTTCCATCCGTGACGTTTTCCCTCACCGATTTCTGGCTCGGAAATTTTACATACAAGTTTGTCAATCTTGCGAGTTTTGCGAGTGGCTTTAAAAAGGACCCTCTGATATAACTCAATAAATGGCTCAAGGTCACGTGAGCTTCCATTGTTCACTTCGCCGGTATGCACTATAGATTCACCTGATGAAATATATATCAGACAAAACAATCAGGTTTGCTAAAATTAATATTTAATTAATAAATATATTAACATTATTATTTTTCATTTTTTAAAATATGTATTTATAAAATGTTGCATACAAGCTCATATTTCTCATACTTATGATCACCATTGCTATTATCATTGTCTTAACAACAACTGTGTAAACTTTGGTATATATTAATATGATTGATTCCACAGTTTATATGCAGCTGTAGGATAAATTGAAGGGTATGAAGGAATGAAGGGGGTTTGGAGGGTTCTCTACTGGTATTAAGTGAGCACAAACAAATGCAGATTATGTAGTTACAGTACACTAACATTAATACTTTGCTTTCCTATTTAGATGCAGGATGCTCTAGAAATATGTACATTACGTAACTACACTTACCAGCACAGTACGCTTGGCGCTGGATCTCAAACGATGCATTTATGTGGGTCGCACAGCAACAGCAGCATACTTCTTTAGTATCATCTCTTCTCATAGGATTCTAAAATGAAAATTTAATGGTCATGCTCCATATTTTTCTTAGTTTGGGGGCGTTAAAGTGTGTATTTCGATGTGTCTTTACACATTCTACTAATTAAAATGGCCCTTCTCGGCTGATAAGGGGCAAAAAGGAATGCTGATGAATACTGTATCCTGAAGCCCACTTAAGGCTGGGGCTTCTGGCTTAAGTCAACAAGATATCATAGCTCTTACACCACTGAAGATGGTAGTGGTAACGAAAGGGTTTTTGATGATGGTACTGATGATGATGGTGCCAAGTCGAATGGCCGAGCAGTTAGCCTACAGCCATAGTATTGGTGCTGGTTCGAACGACACGCTCACCTATGGTTTGGATGGTAGAACAAGTCTTCTCGAATAAGGACTAATAACCGTAGGCCCAGTGTACACAATGGCTCGTGTGCACTATAAAGAACCAAGTACAGTACATTATTCGAGACAAGTAGGGGGATACCCCGGTGTACTAGTACAGCCCCTGTGGTGAATG